AAATATAATGCAGTTCGGAAGGAAACATAGAAACTCAAAAAGTTATAAAAAATAGATACTATAACAAAATAAAACTGTTAACATCCCAAAATGGAATTAAATAGATTATCAAAATGTAGGACAGAAAGAGGATTCTACGCTCGGTATTTGGTAGTGTCTAATGGATGGTTGTCTACTCACTCAACTGCACTAAATCTAGTCAATTGGTAGTTATTTATGAATTTGTGTGTTACGCGATTGGGGTGAATCCTTTCGTCTCAGGCAAGTAGGGTTTCAGGATGCCAATAGCTCCCACATTGTCGGGAATATGTGAATACGTGTTTATCACTTCTCTTCTTGAAGCCATCCACTAACGGGGTAGTGATTACCACGGCTGGGAGGGAATTCCAAGTCACAACAAGTCTTAATGAGAAAACGTGTGAACAAACCTTTGTGTTCGCTCCTTGTTGCGCAAAATCTCGAGGGGAGCGGTGGTGATGCTTCCGTAGGATGCTCATATACTGACGATTTGCGTGCTGGATCTGTTGAAATCTATTATCAGATCACCTCCGATCTCCCTGTAACTCAAAGAGAATAATAGCAAGTGTTGGAGTCTATCTTCGTAAAGTCTGTTATTCAACCGGATCACCCTTTTAGATCCTCGTCTCTTCTATCGATCGACGACATCTGTTTGAAGGAGAGAGGTTGCGACGATGTTGCGAACATCAAGATGTGGGCGAGCGTATGTGTTAAAGAAAGTTAAGATCCACATATATGGTGGTCGAACCAACTTGTCTTGGCATAGATTGAATAATTGTATTAGCCTTGGCTGCCTCCCACATATATTACGAAATGGTGTCGAGGCTTTCTGTGGTTATTGTACCAAGATTGCGCTTTGAGGAGCCATTGGGTAGCGGACTTCCTTCGAGCATCTCAGTTAAGTTTTAACGCGTCGACTGATTTTGGTACTGACGTCCAATTTAGCGAATTTCTTATTATTTACGTTTAAATATCAAACCTAAAAAGACGATTGTATGTTATCGTTCATTTGTGAGGCTAAATCCTATTGTTATCAAGATCTCAAAGTTTTCTTCTGGAGAGTCAGTATGAAAATGTTCTACTTTATTACATAGAATTGGCTCACGTGCCTTCTCTAATTCGTTTGACTTCTCTGGTAGGATTTTCATTCTCATGTTTGTCTGCCAAAATAAACGCATGAAATAAATCCATCCGCAAAACCGTATTTGGCTTCTTCTTACTGCCGTCACACAAATTGGTTTCGCCTAATATTGATAATTCAAACATGAAAATGAATATCTATTTCATCCAAACTGTAGCCAAATCACGGGTCAATAAAACGTCATAATTTATGATTGAAGATTTGTCATCTGTAATCAGTAGAGTACGAAATCACAGAACAGGAAGTTTATGACCAGTGATTCTCGAAAAAGAAACTTCAGTACGTTTGGTCATGCTAATGATATCTAATTACTTCAGCTGCCCAACTGAAATTTTATATTTGATACTACCAGTAGTAACAATAAAATTGTGAACAGATCCACTAAGCAACTGATATCGTTTTAAATGTAAATCTAATTACTGGAAGTTGTAAATAAAAGTAGTAGCCAATTAGAACAACCGATCCTAAATAGATTCAATGAAAAGTTTCGGAATGAACATTAGTTCAACACTTCAACTTTATGTGACAGATTTTGCTGCAATTATAGAATTTATAATGACAGAACTCAAGAGACTTATGAGAATGAAATTCGCCTCACAATAAATATTCACTTTTCTTGTCACACTGCTGTTCTTCACTGAATTGATTCCTATGCGCATACGAAAACGATGACTGTCAGTAATTATACACCTTTCTATATAATTGAAATCATGAATCGATCTCTGTTCAAGATTGTAACAACTAAATGATGAAGTGGAATCCAATTCCATGCACTGCTTTATCATTAATAAATACAAATTAGCATCACTGGAATTTAGATACGCTCGTTTTCTAAACCTGGCTTGTTAATTCCTGCAATTAATTTATCATACAGTCAAAGTCCTCTTGTTTCCTATAATTTGAAAACTCTTCGGTTGTATCGATGAATGATTGTAGGAATTTTCGCTTTCTTATGACGCTCGAAGTTTATACACTTAATGTGACTAAATACTACTTATTTATTAGTTTCATGGGAAAGTGAATCAGATTTATTTAGAGACGCCACATTTTTAGCATACTTTAGGCATCCTATGATAATCAGGAAAAAATTTATTTAGTATAGTAAGTATTAGTACCCAGAAATGTTCAAGTCGTACTCTAGAAGTCACGTACGAACCAGTATTGAAAATAAGGTGGTGTTTGTAATTATAAATTCAGAGTTCTAGTATCCACGTTATTAATCTACCCATGAGTTCCCAATGTTAGAAGTGTTCACGGCCAACCAACGTCAATAAAATAAAGTTACAAAAAGTGTCAGTTTAAGACGAATTAGAAACAGGAACAACTGATTTTGAAACGATCGGCATTAAAAATAAAAACATGACAAATTCAGTTCACTCTTAGTTTAAAGGAATGGTGTGTTTATGGTTAAGCATTAGTTAGTTAGTTAGTTATCATCAGTAAATTTAGCATTTTCAGGTAAATTCCATAGCATCATTTTACTTGTATATAACGGACTAGTGTAGCTGTCAGTTTACTGATTACTATCTCCATACTGCTAAACAGTCTATATAAACTTCTTTAATTCAAACTGGTACAGCTATCTGGTCACTACCTTAGAAGGAAGTCTAAATAAATCAGCAGATAACAGCAGGGAAATCATTGCTTATCTAATATCAAAACAGATAATTATTAACGCTGATTTTCAATAATTAAGGATAATTTATGAAATTAAAATAACTGATGCCAGCACATTGGTCCAGAAGTTAGGCGTTCGAGCGCAAGACCAAAGGTCCTGGGTTCAAATCCTGCGAGGTGCAGGAGTCGTGTAACCGCACTACAGATGAGTCCCATACCAGGACGAAACGGCCGACCTCCAGTGCTTCCATGTTTTTAATGGTGGTGTAAAAACAATAATCTTCATAACTCTAATTGGAAAGAAATGAAAATTTTTTAGTGAAACCAAGAACACTATTCCATAGTTAGATATCAAACTTTGTCGATGTCACACTGAAAAATAATTTCCAAAAACCTAGAATTCAATCATGAAAGGGCCGTTTAAATGTCCACCGATTGTTTTAACAAGGTGAGAAGTTTTCTTCTTGTATTGTTTAGTTTGTAAAATAGAAAATGTAATTTAGTTTAATTCACTGGGTTTTAAATTATACTTTTAGTGTAATTTCTACTAATACTAACCAATTATAGAAGTTGAGGTAGAAATAAAAGGTTCTATCTCAGGTGGAATTAAAATTCTTCGATCAGTCAATCGATTCAACACTGTGATTTGACTAATGTCAACTACTTTGTATAAATTTAATTAAGCTTAACTAAAAGAAAACCCTGTGTCTTTAATATTGTCTAAAAATACTAATAATTTTTTAGATATAAATTCAAAATCAAAATAGCACGTAAAAGATTCGCTTTCATGTTAAATTTTTTGAGAAACAAACTCTGTGTATAGTTTTTTTAATGAATTCTTTTGATGATGACATGGTGATCAAGCATAAAAAGTGAGGCATGTTTCTCCAGAGAATGTATTTTATTTGTTTACAAGTCTTAGTGTTTTTTTATGGTAATAAATAACTGTAATCAACAACAGAATACAAAAAAGGTAGAAAGTATACATAAAAAATCTGAGGAAGACTATTGAATCATTAGTTTTATCAAAAAACAATTCACACTACTAACAAAATAGTTAGTAATAAGAAAAGATAAGCGAAAATGTAAATTCCAAATAAGCGAGTATTTGTAATAATACTGACAAAATATTTATGTTTGAAGATTACTGTTCTGTTTAGTTGACGCAGAGAAACGATAATGTATGGATACTCAAGAATAATTTAAGTGAACACTAGATTCGAAAAAATGTACAAAAAGGATTAAAGTTTATGAAAATAATCTCTTATATCAAATAGAATGAAAGTAGAGACAAGTTGCAGAAACTGAAGAATTCATTTCAAGGTTATATCATGCTTTTACTTGTCACATCCACTTGTCATTATGCATTGGATATATACTTTGTGAAATTATCTTTATAATTCTGTAAACACATAGATGCAGAAAATTGTTTGCTAAATATTTCCCTTCGAAAAATTACATGTCTTTTCTAAGATAAAATAATGTTTATACGGTGTATAGAATCTTGAAATATTTAGTAAGAGGAAATATAATTCTTTTACCCTTATTCTTAATTACAAAATGAGAATAAGATTTCTTCCTCACATCAGTTAATTACAAATATTTTCGTAAATATAATAATAAAATGTAGTAATCCTTGCACACTTGAAATTAATTTATACAGTTCGCATTGAAGATAATGAGTTAACTAGTTTGATTTTCAGCTTGATTGAATGATTTTTGAAATCAGAATAGAATCAGGGGATGAGTTTAAAATCAAATAGATTACAATAAGTTATCTGTTGTCTTGTTTTTGGTTGTGAAAGTATTGTATTGAAGAAAATTTTGTATGATTTTTTTTTAAACCTTTAAAAATAGTTTGAATATAATTGGATTGAAATTATGTGGATTTCTGTGCACTGAACAAACAGTAAAAAACCAGCTACTGTTTTGATTTCAAAAAAAGTTACCAATCCCGAGTTGTTAGATATCTGGCGTGATTAGGGGTTTACAATAAACTTGTTTTTAATCTTCGATTATTTCACCATGACTGTTCAGTCTCTTTGATGTTAACTTTTTTAAACAAAAAAAGAGGAAAAATAAAAACAAAGGAGGTCAAATTTTATTTTAATGTTTTTCAAAGTGCATTTTTATACGAAAGCTTACTATCTATGTAATGTAAGGTAGATAGTATTTTGTTTGAGCATAAATAGTCATTCAAAATAACAGTTTAATGCTTTATTTTGAGAAGTATTGTTTGTTATGTTATCATTATGCAATTTTTATGACGATACAAAGTTTATTAAGTTGACAAACAGAAAACGATTAAATAAATAAAATGTAAAACTTCAAATTCATTTAAATGATCAAACTAGTCTATTCAACTGTCATAGCAAACATAATCCGAGTATCAGTATTGAATTGATTTAAAGTAGAATAAACATTTTAAAATGATCACTGTTTACGGAAAATTACTTACAAAGAATTAAATTACTATTAATCAAAAGATGAACGAATAGAATATCAATTGTTTGAAGTAAGGCTTTCAACTACATGACAGTGATTTACTGCATGTCAGTTGATATATATGTATACTGAACATTTCACTGATAAGCCATGATATGTGAAGTTAGTCAACATACGAATTTCAACTAGGGCACTAAATCACAATCTAGATTGAAGTAAAATGTATGACACTTGTTTTCTCCATCTGAAGACTTGTCATTAGAATTAACTTATTTCTTAATATGAATCTTAACACTGAGAATCAAACGCTATATCTTAAGCTTTAAACACCAACGTGTTATGTCAAATAAACTGCTAGTGTGTTCAGATGGTCATCATGTTGTTCAACGGGTCTGAAGTTATCATTGAACGTTTGTAGCCTTACGTTGTTGTCATTTAGAACAGAAACTGATCAGTTTTCATTGCCAGATAGGTATCTCATCGTTCCGAAAATATATAATAAACGCTGGATTAATGTGAATTATTACAATATGAAAAACTTATCAATCATCTAGGGGAATTTTATTCCAATATAAGTTGTTAGTTCTTTTAGTTTAGTTTTTTTTTTAAAAATTATTTGCTCACCGTGATCTGGTTTCCATTCAAATTATTGTTGTTATTATAACTATGGACTGGTTGTATTTCACGTGTACAATATTTACCTAGTCTTCTAACAAATGATAAAACAAATAAGCATAGTAAACTCAGCTAGAAAAAATAAAAAAAAATTTATTCTTTACACAAACAATAAATAAACAAAAATTTATTTACAATTTAAATAACAAAAACGCATCCATTTTTTTTAAAAAAAATTTATGAGAATGTAACACACAAGAACATATGGAAATTGCATATAACCAACCATTGAATATAATTTTAAAATAATTAATATATATATAGGATTTTGAATGATATGTAGGAATAAACAGTAAATATGAATTGTTAGTTTTTTTGTTTTATGAACGGTTAATGTTATGAATATTTTATTCTTTAAATGAATTGACGAAGTCAAATGTCACCAGATGATAAAATTGAGTTATTTTACTGTGATTTAAGATATAGGATCCCTCTAAGTAAACTTATGCAATGAAACATGTTTGAAGAGCGAGTATAGTAGTATTTATATTGTTCGTATATAATATATATATATATATATATATATATATATATAATATATATATTAATAGATCAGTGTACAGGTTTAGTTGAATAGCATAATCTCAAGTCTCTGATGAATATATTGACCATGGGGATGATACACAAGGACGAGAATAAATTTCATCGATTATAAATCTGAAAAATGATAAAATATTAAATAGATTCCTCATAAATTTCACTTATGAACATCAACAGGAAAAGAATATATCAAGTGATTTTTGAAGTTGTTAATGAAGTGATCATGTATATTATTTCTTGACTGTTGTTTTGTTCTCAGATTTAGGTTTAATTTTTTGTCACATGTTTATACTGTGATACATTGCCTTTGATTGGCATAGTCGAATAAAATTCAGCGTAAATTTGCACTCTTTAAATGACAATCTGTTAATCAAAATGCATAAAATCAAGTTCTTTGTACTTTGATATAACTAGGTTGGTTATAGGGTATTAAATATCTTGTTTGAACATAGGATTACATACGTTTGTTGCTCATTACTATTATTTAATGATAATCATGATGAAAAGAGAAATTGTTGAGTGATGATCAGAAAGCTCAGAAGTTGTAAGGGATTATCTTATACCTTTTGTGTAGGTGAATTACAAAAACAGAATACTTAAATTACTTTCAGCATATCAAATTCTGTCAGTTATCAAGTTGACATTGTAGGGTTGTGGAGATAGCTGAGTCTGATTGAAATCATGATCAACGTCAGATCATAACAGAAACCTTGAGAAGTGGAGAGGCATTTCCTCTCAATGCTCACCTACGACGCCGGCAAGCAGGGATCCAACGAAGAACCCTAGGTTTCCAGCTCAAACGCCTAACCTCTAGACCACTGAGCCGGCATCGAAAGGTTATGCATTTATGCGCAAAACCGAAGGTCCTGGGTTCGATTCCCGTGTGCGGGTGTCGTGAATATGCACTGGTTGGTTATAAGTTTCACATTAGAACGAAACGGCTGCTCTGTGCTTCAAGGTTTCCAATAGTGATCGATTCATGATTTCAACGAAATTACCAAGTTGTAAAGTAGTTTGTATGTGTGAAAAGTTGAGTATTATGAGCTGAGTTTCAAAAGATATCATATAAACTGTGAAATGGTAGGCCTCAGTTTATACGTAAATATGGTTTAAATTGTTTCATGTAAATGAAGACTAATTTTTTAAAACGTAGTATTTGCATTTTTTTTCACAATCCTGTTATTATTGTTGGAACTAATTTGCTAACATTACTGCAAACATTATTACACAACTGAATTTTTAGCTATTTTCTATAAATATATATCTACAGAGATATGAAGTTAATCGTACGTAGTATGAATTACTACATTCAAGATGATCATTTGTATGCAACGTTCAATATACTGGGAATTACACAGCAAACGTAAATCCTCATTCCATGCATTCTGGTCATAATTTGTTCTTTGGCATAATTAGCGATCATACACCTTATAAACCTCAACTGACGTAATTTGAACTTAACCATCATATAAACAGATCAACCAAAGTATGTAGATTTAGAACAAAACACAATTTAAGAAGAAAACGTATTTGATGATAAATTGTATCTGCATTTTCTTGGTAGAACATCATTGTTATGAAGTCGTTGTCGTTCGTTTCACTGCATTCTAATTACTGTCTGCTGTAACAAAATAAATGAGACATGCATGTGATCAAGGATTAATAAAAAAAATGGCGAATAATTCAATTCGATTGGTCATCAATGTTAAATTGGATTGGTTGTTGAACATCTTTTAAACGTATACTATATTACTTGAGGCATTATGATTTACTCCAAGTTAGATTTGAAGTACTTTAACGTCTATTTATATATATATATATATATATATGATGTGTACTTTTCAGAATGCTTGAAAGTCTATTCACAATGAATATATGAAACAAGCAAGTTCACTTAACACACTAACACTTCGTATTAATTTTTTTTTGCAAAAAATACTCTTGTACTTGTTGTACTTTTAGTTTCGAAAAAACAACCAACTATAATCGAAGTGTATATACACTAAAAATATTGGAATTATTTATTAAGAAATGCGTATCAATGATTAAACCAACACAATTAATATTAAGAGCTGTTATAGTTGAAGAAATAAAAGCTAAATGTTTCAGGAAATCTACAACTTTACAATGGAAAAGATAGATTTTGTTAGAAAAACAATTGTCTAAAATTCGCTGAATGAAGTAAAATGCTTGCTCATTGATAAACGCAACCAACATATACTTTATGGACAATTTTTGTTCATAAGGAATTCTTTTTCATTCTAAATGTTTGGTGTTTTATGAATATACCTGTTTACACTAAAATTTACAACACGGTATATAATATATTAAAATACAGTATTTTCATCTTGACTTGAATTCTAGAGAAATGGTAATTGAATTCAAGTCTCGATGTAGACGCATTTAATAGGCTGTTAGGACTTTTAACTAATGAGTCTCTAATAGGACAAAATATACAAATTGCGCTTTACTTCTAGGCATTACTCAGAATAAATCTGACTTATAATTGTGTCAGTGAATTTGTTCAATGGCTTAATATACTGACAGAGACCTGTCAAAATCATTTATGAATATCAACATTTAGATATCACGTTAGAAAAATATTTCATATGTTAATCTACGTTTATTGATTACTGACTAGTACTGATTATGTTTACTTCGAAATGTCCGAACCCTATTGAAAACTAGGAACCAATGAAAGTCTACAACATCCACCTAGAATCTTATCTGAAGACGAACACAGGTCCTTCCGTTTTCAGGGGCATTATTTAGCTCCCTGAGGTGAGATTGAGTGGCTTATATGTCTAATTTAAATCGACTCACGATAATGTGAAACCATTGTCGAATGGATATTTGTCACAGTTCCTACATAGTTGAACCCCAATAATCACAGTTTCCCATTAGAACTTCCTGATTATTACTAGTAAATGATAATTTGTGGCTATTTTTAAAATTGCATTTAACATCCTAGATGATAGTTTAGAAAGAGATTGAAACAAATCCTGTAAAAGCTTTCAGTGATTAGTAATCATCAGTAATTTATGAACACTTACGGTTGATCATCTTGTTTAGTTCTTTTTCGAAATCGTTGAAAAGCTAAATATTCCCTGTCATCAACACGGAAATAACGCAGACCACCTGATAGTAAACAATAATGATTATTACTAATAATACACATCATGATATGTTATAAGAGAAAAAGAACACTGAGCAAAATAAACCAAAACAAATATCTATGATCATTATTTGGAATATTTCGATAGATTGCCTCGAGGAGCTGTGTTTTATGGTGTAGGAGTAGGTTAGAAGAAAGCTAAGGGCGGCCAAACCAAAACATGGCACAAATCCATGGAACCATTGACAAGTGTGCTGAGTCATTTTGGTAAGTGTAGACTAGCTGGTTGGGGTAACCGATGGTTAGAGACCTTTAACGACATGGCTCCAAATCGTTTGTAATGACGCTGGTGCATCCACTCTTTGTGTTCTCTCACATTCTAATCTTCTGAATTCCTCGTCACTTTTACCGTTCTCTTTCTAAATTTATTTCACTGAATTATTACTTACTTACGCCTGTTACCCCCAATGGAGCATAGGCCGGCCACAACCATTCTACAACCAACTCTGTCCTGGTCTTCCCTTTCCAGTTCTCTCCAGTTTTTGTTCATTCTTCTCATATCTTTCTCCATTTCTCTGTGTAATATGTTTCTTGGCCTTCCTCTTTTCCTTTGACATTGAGGGTTCCATGTGAGGGCTTGTCTTATGACGCAGTTGGGTGCTTTTCGTAGTGTGTGTCCTATCCACTTCCATCGTTTCTTCCTGATTTCCTCCTCCACTGGAATCTGGTTTGTTCTCTCCCACAGTAAGTTGTCGCTGTTAGTGTCTGGCCAACGAATCCGAAGTATATTTTGAAGACAACTGTTCATAAATACTTGTATCTTCTGGATGATGGATCGTAAAATAAATATCTATCAACATTATTAGAAACATTTTGATGGACGAGTGAGTAAAGCAATGAATAAAATTCAAATGTTTCTTGTGAATAATTGACATTTATTGGAGGGTCATGGAAATTCATAAGAATACCGTAAACCTGATTAATCTAAGTTTGGCCATAAATGTTAGTTGGATGATAAAAAATAAGTCAAATAAGTGAATTTAATGCTAATATGTTAATCATGTAGTTCGTTTTAACATTTCAAAAATAAATATGACAAACAAATACATTTGTTATTTGTTGAAATTTATCACATAATATAACTTTTCATTATTATGAAACTGGTATACTACATTCCCTTAAAAAATCTCATCTGTTCTTATTTAAGATTCTAAAACGAAAATGTTTCATAGAAAACAAAGGATTTAAACAGAAATAGATTTTAAGAGTTGTTCCTAATGTTTATGAAAATAATATTATCTTCAATATGATTGATGAATAGCAAACGATAGTAATCTATGGTTAATCAAAGTTCAAAAGCTAACGTTTACAATCACCAAACATATTTATTTCAAGAGGTGTAATTAGGGGGATTATCAAATGTTTGTGCACACAATTTGTGTCAATAAATAAAAGTACATGATCGATCATCCATTCATTATTTTTACCTACTCGCCGATACAAGAACATTTAGCATTATCATTTAATAGTTATGTTAATTGATCGAAAGCCATAATCCAGAAGATACAAGTGTGTATGAACAGTTGTCTTCAAAAAATACTTCGGATTCGTTGGCCAGACACTAACAGCGACAACTTACTGTGGGAGAGAACAAACCAGATTCCAGTGGAAGAAGAAATCAGGAAGAAACGATGGAAGTGGATAGGACACACACTACGAAAAGCACCTAACTGCGTCACAAGACAAGCCCTCACATGGAACCCTCAATGTCAAAAGAAAAGAGGAAGGCCAAGAAACATATTACACCGAGAAATGGAGAAAGGTATGAGAAGAATGAACAAAAACTGGAGAGAACTGGAAAGGGAAGCCCAAGACAGAGTTGGTTGGAGAATGGTGGTGGGCGGCCTATGCTCCATTTGGGGCAATAGGCGTAAGTAAGTAAGTAATTGATCGGCTAATAAAAGAATCGTAACAAATAGGTACTTTATCAGAAGTTTTTGATTTTCAAATTAACACGAAGTACTAGTTTCTGTTGTACCTAACGAAGCGTATTAAGAAAACTATTTACCAGTGGCTCATTAGATTATTCAAGTGATAAGACTGAGGATATAATGGAAGTTTTTTTTGAAAAGACAAGTAAAAATTCGATTATACTAAATTTCACGCTTGCAAAATTTCACAATTAAAAATGAATATTGTATGTGTAATGAGCGAAGAAAAGAAACCATTAACGCAAAACCAAGTACTAGATAGATTCAAACTATCTATTGTATAAAGTTAGTCAATTCCTAGTCAAAATTTCCTTCAATTATCGAATGCTTCATTGTTTCTCAGGTATTCAATGAACCATGAGTTTTTCCTCAACACTTTAAGTAGATTAGAATTAAGGCGAATCAACAAAAGACTAACCGATAGGTAGTTTACTGCTGCTCTGACCAAAACAAATACGAAATTCATTGAGGTGTCGATTCACGTCGTTTGGTGATCTTATTGTAAAATCCATCAGAGATTGGTTTTATCGGTAATAAAGATTGGATAACACAATATTGGTTACCGAAATGCAACAGATTAGTAAAGACTCCTCAGTCATCCAGGAGACTAATCACATTGCAAATGGCTCAGCGTTAACATCTATGATGGAAGCCAAATTATCTAAACAGAAACGTCAGCTACATTGGAATTTCAAAATTATTTTGGCAATGAGAATCAATCGGCAGAAAATTCATGTTTAGGAAATTTTTCAAATTGCTGCCAACCCTATAATATACCGGACTTAATATTTTTCAAACTATCAAAAAGATTCTTAATAATAGTCTTCAGACAAACAACTTATTCGAACTAAGAGGTCATATTTCAAGAAACGAAAGATACCTTTTATAAATTATAATAATTTATTGCTAAAAATTGATTTTTTTTAACTCAACAGATAACCGTATGAAAGAAATAGGCTATTTATAATTATAATATGAATTCTACTACAATTAAATCGATTTCAGAGTGTTAACACAACAGAATTTCAGTTTTTTTTTATGAAATTGACAGATAAATTGAATTCAATTTGGTTACACATGAAAATCATTGAATTTTGTTCATTTTATAAACCACTTTGTAATGGTGCTGTAGGGATGGTTACGTAATGCAAAAAAAATTACTCAAGTTGATGATGATGATGATGATGACAGCCTACACTTAACTATTTAGCAATCCACAACATAAATGATTAGGTTTTGATTTTCTCAGGAAGAATTTACAGTCAATGCAAATCATTAAAAATTGATTGTTGCATGAAAAAAGAAAACACTAATTAGTTTGTTGATTTAAACCTTGGAAGATGAAATGTTACAATTTTTTGTAAATAAAATGTACAACATATATTTGTGATTAACATATAGTCTGAATGTATTGAAATATTAAATATTCTGTAAGCTAAATAATGATCTGTGAACTAGTTGGAAACCTAAGAAATAATGCTAACAACGCAAAATTGGCTCTGAAGAGAAAATCTTTATCGTCCACTGAATTAATTTAATAATAATAATAATAGTATTAATGAACCTTCTATTATCGATTGTTTTCCTCTTATCAATTTGAATTGAGCATCAAAGTCTTTTGACAAGCTACAATATTTCCTTTTCAATAGTGTATGTTTAATTGTTAGACAGCAAGGTATATTAACAATCAGTTAAACATCTAACTTCAGTAACAGAATGAAACTAACTGATTATATAAACTATGTCGAATTGTGATTACTGTCGATAAGAAACATGGTGAGTAAATTTCCATAGCTTACAGTCAGAGTAGAAATGACAGTATTTATTATGTTTCGAAACAAAATTACAGTGCAAAGTAAGGTTTGTAGTACATGAAATGAGACGATGCTCATTGTCAGTTCACAAATCGAGCCTCAAAAGTTCTTTATTTTAGAAGTAACTTTGAAAATGATCTATTTTCTTTCATGCTTACCAGTTGCATAAAATTTCTGTCGACTGAGGGGATGTAGGCAGAATTCCCTACAGATTGAGTATGTATTGATGATATCATTATTGGCTCAGATATGGCGAAATGTTTAAGGTAACCACCAACCACTGAACTTTTATCAGATTTTTATAATGATTCTTAATTAACTGCAGAGGCGAAAGATATGAAATAACAACCTGAATTTTATCATCCTTGTAACTAATTTTCTATTGGTCGATATTATTTCGGTCCTCAACAGGTAATTCACTTCTAAGTTGTGAGCAATAGGTGCTGATTGCTTTCGCTAGCTGATAAAAATAGCAAGTAATAAACTGTCATTGACTTTTTGGTTGATGATACATGAGCGTACGATCCGTTGTTTAGATATTTTTTGTATTGATTTTATTTTTGATACTGTTTACACTGTATCAGAGAGTAAATGAATATCATTTGCAGCCTTTGTAGATAGAAAAAACATTTCTGTTGATCAAACTACGGTTTAGTTGAACTACAGCAACTAATCAATTCGGTCGTGAATGTTTTGCCAAAAGATAGTTATTACGTAAATATTAACTTCCATTTCACAACATTTCATGGAGTTCATCAGCTTCAGTCAAGTAAAATCAAAAATTCTATGAACAAAGCAAAAAACAAATTATGGAGAATAAAATGGGTTCATTCTACTTCATAGATTCTCATCAGTCAAGAAGTGACCTAAAAATACATGGAGTTTTGTGTTTATAAAGGTATAGTTAGGATGAGATACTTCATCAGTCGGTATCTATCATCGAGCGTTGAACTTTGAACCTTTGAGTCTCTCAAGTGAACACTCAACTTTGAGACCATTAAGCCATTATTAAATGATGTACAAGTTTAACTGCAATCAATCTGTGATATTGTACGATTGTCTTTTATTGCTTTCGGTGGATAATTGTCTCACACTAGTGTTACGCTCGTCACTTAGTATGCTTGAGGCTATTACGAGTTTACCTTAGTCGATAAACGCGAACGAGACTTTTACCAGCGTCCAGATAGGCTACCTTGAATCCCCAGGCTGAAGTAAAAAGTCTTTGTAAGCGTAGAAAGTATATTCTACAAAACACCCAGCAAGCACAGTACAATCAAGCATACAACTCTCGTTTTTTTATACATCATAGAAACGTCCTTGAGACATTTAAGAAAATAGCACACTAAAATACACAGCAGCCAATCACAGCCATGGATTTTCCTGGTGGAAATTGAAATCTCAAGGTCAACTGATCAGCCCATGCTCGCAAACGTGAAAACCAAAATAAGGCAATTATCAAGCGAATTTTGGAGATCTAACATCCCCAACAACTAGACACCATTCAACTTCATTGATAAAGGATTTCCACTAGGACTATTGAAATTTCTTGTTGAAGCTAGTCACTAGTGAGCAGTGTATGCGTGTTGTGGACATAGTTGAATTTCACTACAATCACCAATTGATCTAAGTAATTGAGGGTGAGTATTGCCATGGTATCTTATACTGGGACAAAAAACAGCTGAACAGTACTTACATGTCTTTAATGGCTGGTGAACTTACACTGGTTCATCATGTGAATGAAACCGTACAGTTATTTTCTACTTTATAATCTTTTTTCTTTTAGAGTTGTTTAATAGTGATTTTATTCACACGTTTGAAATCATCAATCAATCATTGTTAGACCACCATTAGAAACCTGGAATCACTGGACGGCCGTTTCGTCCTGGTATGGAACTCATCAGCAGTGCGCATCCACGACTCCTGCACCTCACAGGATTCGAACTCGGGACCTTCGGTATTGTGCACGAACGCCTAACCATTGGATGACTGTGCCGGCACCCAACGGTGTTATTGCCCAACTCTGATTGATCTAAGGATTTTGTGTGACCTCACCCATTTCTCTTCGGGAGTTACTGCCTACACCCGACAGGGTTGAACTCCACTGGTCACGTCTTTTCACTAGGACTTCGAGAATTTTATCACGAAGCTAGTCACTATCGAGCCGACCCAGTGGTCCAGTTGTTAGGCGTTCGCGCACAATACCGAAGGTCCCGAGTTCCAATCCTGCGAGGTGCAGGAGTCGTGGATGCGCACTGTTGATGAGTCCCATTCCAGGACTCCCAGGTTTCTAATGGTGGTCTAACGATGATTGACTGATTGATGATTTCAAATATGTGAAAACACTAATCTCCATAACTCTAATTGAAAATATAGTAATTTTATTATTATCATCCGTTCTATTCCGCATTATTATTATTATTATTATTATTATATTCAACATTTAATAACAACATTTAATATCTGGTTTCCTTTTGAGAATCTAGCCCAACTTCATTGATAAAAGTATGTTATACCTCCGTTTATAATTATATTATACCTAATAGTTTAGGGTTGAATAATCAATCACTGATCATTCATTCTTTACTATATATTATTTTTTTATACAAAATAATTTAAATTTCTGCTTTTAAAAAATAAAATAGCACACTCGAGCATACCATTAAAACGGGATTCACGTCCATGGTTGATTTCTGGTGTTCCACTCAGAAGTATTCGTGAATTAAACTGAAATATACACATAAAACAAATAATACTATTTTAATTTTTGATTTTAAGAATAAAGACAAACATTTCTGAAATTAAACAAAAGAATATATTTTCATAATATTGGTTTGGAACAGTTAGGATAAAAATAACCTAGAGAACTACGGCTTTTTTGAAAAAACAATGAAGGCTGTATTGGACGGTTTCGGGTCTTAGGAGGAGATTTTTCAGTACCGCTAATCTATAATCTTAAAAAGGATAAAACTTAGGCCGTTTATGTCTCAAGGGCTACGCAACGTTGTTTCACGCTTGTTACCTCTTATGGAGCATAGACTGCCGATCACGATTCCTAAATCTACACTGTCTTCCATTCTCTTTTCAATTTGTTCCTAATTTCTGTTCGTTCTTTTCATGTTTGCTCTCAGATTTCAGAGTAATCTGTACTTTGGTTGTTCTCTTTTCTTTTGGCCTTGAGGATTCCAAGTTAGGGCTTGTCTTGAGACGCGTAGGGCGCTTTTCTCAGTGTGCCCCATCCACCTCCAGGTCTTTACCCCCAGTTCTATCTCTGCTGAAATCTGGTTTATTGTATCCCGCAGTAGGTTACTGCTGATGGTATCTGGCCGACGGATAGGAAGTATCTTGTGAGGATAACTGTTAATAAACACCTGTATATTCCTGGTGATGTCTTTTGTGGTTCTTCAAGTTTCTGCTCCATACAACCGAACTCCGTTGACGTTTGTACTGAGAATTCTAACTTTTTTGTCATTTGATAGCTGGTTTGAGTTCCAAATATTCTTCAGTTTTGAAAACGCTGTCCCTGCTTTGCTAATCCACGCCTTCACGTCTGCATCAGATCCACCCTGTTTATCAATTACGTTGCCCAGATATTTGAAGGTCTGGACACCTAACAGAGCTTCTTTCTAGAGAGTGATTTGATTGTTGTCTGATGTACATGCTGACTTCCATGATTGTCGGTGGAATAACATCAACTGTAAGGTCCATGAGTGCTTTTTTGATGACCAAGGGATTGAATGGATTTAGTCTGTTCAAAAGCCCTTTAAAGTGCTTTACTCACCCGCTTCGCTGTTTGTCGTCGTCGGTGGTTGGTTTACCGTGTTTGTCCTTTACTGTTGCTTCTGGTCCACTATGTTTTCCATGCAGCTTCTTAGTTGTAACATATAGTCGTCTAATGTTTTCTTCTCTTGCCACTATGTTGCATTTTTTTATTTTCCCGGTCTCCCACAATGTATAAGCATTCCACATACCTATATTATTGGTTGCTGTAGTTGGCAAAAGGGGCGTTCACCTCGGGACTTCCGAAGAAATTTAGCTTTCATCACCAAGCGTCATAGCTCTTATAAATGTGGACCTTCCAACTCCTTGGACAGATTTCAAATGGTTTAAAAGATGTTTTCTGGTTGGCATTTTTCAGTAAGTTTGTCTTCTACAGGATGAGATCGCTAGATTCATCCCAACCTTCCTCCTTTACAGAGATTTGGGAGTGGCAGTAACTCTAGAAGGCATCCAGGCGGAGTTGAACGTTATACTATTTATACAATTAATTTGTGTTCATTTATTGATAGTTTTAACCTCAACAAGTTTATGATTGAAGAAAACTTTTGTCTAGTATATTAGGTGTTAATTGTTTCATTACCAACCTGGTTGATTGTATAAAGATATCCTAGTAAATATCCAACATTTGCATAATAGCATCTGGTTTTCAAGAGAAATTTCTAAAAAACCTATTAAATCTATGCGATTCATGAATTCAATGGAAGGAGCAAATTTATGACTCATTGACAAAAATGAATGAAAAAACTTTCATATTACAATTCAAATGAATTCGAAGTCACTACGCCGGTGGCCCATTATTATTTTTACCTTCAGCTAGACCTATATTCTTTGGATTCAATAGAGCATAAAGCCTTAGGTATGCACTTCTGGAAAGTACTAAACCAACAAGATAAAAAACTTATTCACTGCTTCCCGGTTTTCAGTCTATCACCAATCAACATCATTTTGCGACAGAACTAACTGTCTTCTTCAGAAAAACAATTTTGCGTATCAGTCCTGATGCTTAATCCAAAAATAGTGTAGCGGTTTGACATCATATCATGGCATAAAAATGTCCACGAACATCACTTATAGGTCTTTCTAATTTCCGATAGTTCTAGAACAGGTCTTCAGTGGTTGTTTAACTTGGACCGATTAGTTGTCTCGATGAAATTCTAGAGCAGTTGTAGTGAGAATTTTATTTACATTATTGATTAGTAATTTTTTAATTTTAATTAATAAAAATCAATAAAACGTTGAGAAAATTTATAATTCTTCTAAAAAAAAACGAAAGATAAACATTCTACAATCGAAAACAAACAGTTCCATTTTTTCATGTCGAACTCGTAAAGTGATATTACATTGTTTAAATAAACTACTTAAATTTCAATAACTATTGAACGCATCTCTAAGTGTTTTTATGTTATGATATAGATATATATATATATATTTATATCGACACCTAGATTGTAAGGAATGATTAAGATGACTAGTTGTGTAAGCATGTGAATAAACTGATAAAGAAGAGAGTGTAACATTAAAATTGTTCCATATAATAAACATTATTAAATATTTATAAGAGTTTGTATTTTTTCATTACTGAAATAAAAAATTGCACTTGATCACTTCCTTTAGATTTACAGAAATTGTAAGCTGATTGTATCAACATTGTTAGTTAGTTACAAGGTTTCGGTAAAGCTGGGTAGTAGTAGTAGCTAGGAATGGAATCAAGGATGCGTTTTTAATCCTATTTGGGACTGATCAGCTAAGTGTATCATTTCAGTTTAAACAAATACCATAAAGGACTACTTAGTTGAAGTATTTATCATCAATAAGTGGAAAATACCAATTCATGTAAATAACATTGTTACCGGCTTCACAAACCAGTTGCTAAATCGTTTCATCAACTCTATGGCTCACTGGAATCGTGTCCTAATGCAGTAAAGATTAACATTGGGATACAAGTAAACCCATCATATGAGTCCCAGATTGGATGAAATACGCGTTCTATATTTCACTTTAAGCCTTTTTTCAACTCTACCAAACTAATGAATACTTTTTTGTAAAAAATATCTTTTTACAACTGAAGTATTCAACATCAAGATTAGTATTCGATACAATCATCTGAATCTGTTGAACTCGTCAATTGACATGCTTGAAACTATTACGAGTTCACCTTTATCGGTAAACAGAGTGAAGACAAATGGTGCAGTGACACGATAGACCATCTAATGCGTTTTTCCCCAGCCCGGTTAACTATATCAGGAAGTCTTGATAAGACATAGAGGGTGTATTCTACGAGCACTCAGAAAATACGAGGTCAACAAGCACACAAATCAAGCTTATTTATACATGATAGAAACGTCCTTGGGAGAGCCACAAAATAGCGTACTAAAATAATCCATGAAGCAATGACAGTCAAGAATTTTGCGAGTGGGAAATGTAAGCTGAAGGTTAACTAAGCAACTTATGAGTGAATATATAAAAAATCCAAAACTAGGACATTTTCTAAGTGAGTTCTGAGGATCTAACGTCCCCAAAAGAATCTAATAAGTATTTTGGTGCTTTCTGATTTCTGATCAATTATTATCCAAAACATCTTGAAACTAAATAATCTATTTTTAACTGAAAAACTAAAAGGCCACTGACATATAGTCGTTGCTCTTCTACTTCATGATAAAATCACTACAAAATTACTATGACGAACCCTTAAACAACACCATAGTGACAATAAAAGGCTTTACTTAGAATGAATGCAGAAATTCTCTTTATTTATGATTATTTAATGGCTATAATCGATTAATGAATCATGTAATTCTCAATTTGTTAAGTACCACTCGTGTCTAGTTTATGTAAGTAAATTTCACTCTCTTTCTGTGATACAGATAGAAAATGAGTTTATATTTGTAAATTGAAACGATAAGTAAGACCATGAACATTCTCAATTAGACTTCAATAACACTTTTACTTGAATAGATTCAAGAATAACATGATGTAGTATAATTCATAGAATTATAGTTATGTTCAACCTAAAATCTAAACAGCTGAAAATGAAATTTATCACAAATTCATATTATATGTATGTTGTAGTGAATTACTAAATGATTACACATCTTAGTTTGGCATTTTTTGTTTGTTGCTGAAAGCTGCTAAAACTCTTCATCCTATTCAACACTTAATACATATTTAATACATTTTGATAATGTACATGAGCCTCGAGTTAATCCATGAAAATAGAATTACAGTTTTGTTTTGTTCAATTTTTGATTTTGAGAAATTAGCTTGTTTAAAAGATAGTTTTATGTAATGGACTAACAACATTTGTAGAACTAGAATCAGAAGTAATAGACAGATATTTTGTGTAAGTTTGCAACTTTTCAAAAGTACACATCAAAGATTTCATAAATAATTGAATAATAATTTAAGACACTCTAATCCTACTATGAGTGTGTTAAGTTAAGAAGATTGGCCCTATATTTAACGGTTCATATTTCCAACTTCACGTGACTTTCAGCTAAGCTGATTCAATAAAAGTTTCATTACCAGTTACCCGGTTCATGATGAATTCTTAAATTCTCTTTTCAAGGTTACGCATTCAAGAGTGTAATCACAAAGTGAGCATAATAAACATTATCACTAGCATTGGATAATTATCAAATACTGGCCCAGTGGTCCGATGGTTAGGGTTCGAATCATGCGAGGTTCAGGAGTCGTGGATGCACACTGCTGAGGAGTCCGATACCAGGATGAAACAGCCGTCCAGTGCTTACAGGATTCTAATGGTTGTCTAACATTGATCGAATCATGGTTTCAAAAATGTGTAATTATCAAATAGTATCACCAAATGACTAACAAAAATTTACCCAAAAGTTTTGTTTGTTAATGAAAAAGATGAGATTTAGCGCTTGTTCAGTCTATTGAGAATAGTTTCCTTTTGTTTACCATAAAATGAAATTTGACACAATTATTATCAAGTTTGTAGATATATTATCAATACTACAATTTAACTTGATAGTTTCAAATAATTTGAGTATTGGGTGGAAAATTAATCATCGAATATTTGTATTTTCTACCAATGAGTAGAAATTCGGATTTTCAATTATTTTGGGACATAATGTTAGTCTTAAAAATATGATTGCTTTGTTATTATTTACTAAATGAAACGTTAAATCAGGCGGATGAACAAGTTATCTAATATTATTTATGCTGAAAATTCAACAATACTTTATGTAGATTGACTTAATCAAAAGAATAGGCCAGATGAAACAAGCATCTCTCTGCATAGTTATCAGCATCATTTTCAATTATCTGGAGAAAATCATGAATACTAGATAACTTTTTTGTGCTACTTTGCAGTTTCACAACAATAAGCATCAAATATCAAAGACTAAATAGAACTTGTGATCAGCACAAAACATTTTACCTACCTACCTACTTACCTACCTACGTCAAATGCAGAAGACTACTAGAATTATTTCATTTTAATCAGTCACATGGTACAATATTTATTCGGTGGTAGATTGGAACTAAATGAAAATTAAGTGAATTACGTCAGAAAACTACTCGTCTTGAATTAAACCTGTAAAGATTAATGAACGATTATCTAATGTCTGAAAAATATATCCATCATAATGATTAATATTATTTGCAAACATTTCTGAATAATTTCATTTAGACTGTTAATATTCATTTGGAGATGTTTACTTCAATTCATTCACTTTAACATTTATACTTAGAAAGCCATTAAATTAATCATTTAGACTATCCAGATGTGTAAAATTAAAGTATCATCATTCCGAATTAATTTAATCTTAATAAAAACAAAATGTCATCAACAAATACCTACTACTGGATTTCTTCTACTAATCACTTCATTTGATCGATGTCGAGTTCGTTTTTTTTTCGATGGATGATTGAATATTGGCGTATAAATATTCAATGGATTTGGCCACTTTGAACTAAAAAAAAACAAATAAAATGAAGTTTCCTTTAAAAAAAATCAGACTATTTGGTATGACAAAAAATTGATTGGTTTGATTTATTATAAAAATCTGTATGTGTGATGAAATTTTGTAAATATGAATAATTTTATACGTTAACTAATTTAAAAAAATCTTTAAAAAGAGATTTTATAAAGTGTGAAGGTTTTTCTCTTAGGAGAATCAGTTGAAAATTCAAGTTTACCTTAGAGCTGATCAAGTCAATCGTACGACAGTCATTCCAAATATACGATACTATTGAGCTTTCAACAGTTTGCATAATTGGCATCATTTCATAATGATAATTACTTTAGAAATTATCCACTCTGATTGACTGAACAAAGAAAGCTTCTTCCAAATTATTCGTGTCATTTTCAACGCACTTAATGAGTGAAATAAAAATGATTTATAATATAACAAAATATATTAGTCAGATAGAACCGACGTATTCAACTATAAAGTTGTAAGGTTCCTGAGAACAGACATTAGACATCTGTCTCATTCTTTATTGAATTGGTTTAATTACACGTGATATCACAAAGATTAGAATGTAAGACTCTCAGCGGCCATTATGAGATCTTTGAGTCAATCAACTTAAAACTATCAGTCCATATTTTCAAACTTAGTTTTCTGTACAGCATCTATTATTGACTTCTTTACTTTCTATGTGGCTGAAATTTATGCAAGTTCAATCTTACTATCTGAACTTTGAAGACCTATCAGCATAAGGTTATTGCTTACCTTGAATAAATTTTCGAGAAAGTTGTACAGTATAATTTTGGCTTTTATCACTAGCAGATGTCAGCAAGAAAACTGATGAAAATAAGACAGGACCAAAACAACTTATAAGAACTAGATGAATCAATCTAAAAGATAGTGAACACACGATTTGTATTCATTTTGATGATATATGAGAACGAGTTCAACAACACATAGTTGAAGAACACTGGATAACTAAATGGTACAACACAGTGATGGAGAAGATTTGTAGTTCAGGTGGATGATTGTGGTGGTGGTGGTGTTTGGTTCTCTGAGCTGGATGTTTTGGTTGTGGAGCTTTCATTGTTCTTCTGAACTACGACATCATCGGCACAAACTTCAGATAGAAGTGAAGCATTCGAATTTCTCCACGTTTGACCTGTATCTTGTTCTGCTAACCTCGAACTTGACTGGTTGCTGTTGACCTTAAACCTGTCGTTGTTTCCACCTTTGTGGAGAAATTCGAATGCTTCACTTCTATCTGAAGTTTGTGCTGATGATGTCGTAGTTCAGAAGAACAATGAAAGCTCCACAACCAAAACACCCAGCTCAGGTACTACACAGTTTTGTTCATTTTATTCATTCTGTTGATAAAAACTGATCACAATCATTAAACTATAGAAATTTTTCAAATCACCAACCCTGGTGTATTCCATGAAGGTCCAAGATCTAACCATAATTGTTTTGTTTTAAATGATAATAAATTCATTATCGATGTGATTGTTTCTTCATTTAACAATGGTTCAATGACATCGATTACAATAGTGGGATTATAATGCGTAAATTGTTTTTCGCTTGCAATTGTATGAACTTTTCGAACAATTCTTATTAAGTAAATAAAAATTTCTTTTGATAAATATGGCAGGGATTTACGAACTTTTTCAACAATATTTAATGCAAATTTAATTTTTTGTAAAGAATCAATTGCTACAGTAGAATCTGGCAATTCATCATGATCAACATCATTTCGTTTGACATCTGAACCTAGGAAATGAACAAATAAGGTAAATAGTTTTAGTTAGTTAGAGAGAGAAAATATTGACTAAAATCTTAACAGATTTACATGAAATGAATTAACATGAATTTAAATCAGTCAAGTTGTCGGCCCGATTCTCAAGCATGTTGAATGAATAGTTCATCTGATGAGAGATAACTATGCTTTTCATCGGAGAATTGTGGAGATTGTTGAGTTTAATTAAAATCACAAATCAGTATCTGTTACACTAGCTTTAGAAACCAGTAAAAAGGAGATAACCGTTTTGTCCTAATATCAGGCTTATGTGTAGTGTGCATCCTCAATCCCTGCACGTAGAAACAGAGCCTAAGACCTCCGGTCTGGTGAGAGAACGCTTAACCTCTAGACCACTGAGCCGGAATCCAACAGTATTATTGTATAACTGCAGACAGTCATGATATAATTTGACCTCATCTACCGTCTTCAGTGGGTAACTGCCCCTCACGCAACGCGGTTGAACTCCACTGATCACGGCTTCTCACCAGAACTCTGAAAATCTCCCCCCGAAGCTAGTCATTAGTGAGCACAGTTTCATGACCTTCATTATGGACTTGTGAAGTTCAACCATCTCGGGTGTGAGGCAGGTATCCTTTGAAGACAATCGGTGAGGTCGCCCAGCACTTCGAATTGATTAAAGTTAGACATCAATACCGTTGGATGCCGGCCCAATGGTCTAGAGGTTATATTCATCAATTTACAATATGTCAACAGTGGTCCAATTCTATCGACAAAATTTCCAGTATTTAACAAACCTGCAGTATCCATATATTTCAGCCCTTTTTCCGTTCATTTATTTGTGACGTGGTAATGTTCATTGGAATTTTATTTCAGTTCCTAACTTTGACTATATTCATGCTCTTCATCCAGTAAGTTTGGCTAATCAACGTTATTACTCTAACAGATTATTATGAACAGCTCTATACTCTTGGCATAAAATCTCCAGTGTGCATCACTCACTCTATAAAACAACCGGGAAATGCTCAAAATTGCTAGACATAACAACTTCATTCGAAAATGAATACATTACAAGTAATCAATAGCCCAACAGTGTTCATTCATAATCAAGTGAACAGTTTTGAACTGCTATCATTAGTTAATTTATTCTCAAACATTTTAAGATAAATTCCTAAACTTAAGTGAATAAAAAATCACTACGCTATTAAAATGTTTCTTAAGATAATATAAATTTACTAATTGGAAATAAATTGACCTCAACTATCAACGATGAATAGACAAACTGTATCATTCATGAAATTAGTTGTCTCTATTCTAACTGTATCTTATTAGTAAATTAAATGAATTAATATGATAAAACTAATTTCAAAAGAAAATATATCTTATCCATTGTTTTATTGAAAACTCACTATATTTATTTTCAAGTTCCTGTGGTGATGACCTAAGACTTTTTCTCAACTTCTTTTCAAACCATTCAATATCATCTAAACATCGATTTAACATATACAAATCTTGACCGTATGCATCATCCTAAAATAATAATAATAATCATAAAAATATATAACCACTGGTTTGGACATGTTGAAGTACAGAAAGAAAAGATTGATTTGTGCATACAAATAATGCTCGTCTAAGCATAAAGTAGGTTGAATGTAAATTCCTCCATACACAGTTCTTCAAATGAGAAACACTTTGTAGTGATGAAGTAAGCTGATCATTAATATTTAAAGCTATCGTTAGAACTATTGACAAATTTGTTTGACAGTGGAAAGCAATGAATTATAAGATTCATATTTCACTTTATTTTGATGTCATCAGGTTTATGTACCTGAATCCTTGTGTTTGTGTAATCATCAATGACCCTTACAGAGATAGGACCTAGTATCTTCGAATCCTAGAATAAGTGTCACTTTCAGATTGATCGGTTGGAAACGGCTGATCCATTTCCACTTTCAGCTGATTAGTCATATGATATAAAAGTCATTTGTCCTCATTGGCGGACACCTCTTTCAAACTTATCCTTGTTAAACTCCATCAATCACGACGTTTTACTTAAATTTATGGAATCTATCTCGAAAATATTCAGTATTCAACAATCAAAGATAGTTTAGTTTTAATTTCTGGTTTTCAGGTTACATTTTTATGGACTGACATCAGTCAACGACCTGAAATCACAAGGTTCTATCCCTAATCAGGTAGTGGATGCATGCTGCTGAAATAACTGATACTGCGAGGAAAAGCTATCCCCTGCTCATTGCTTTTTATTGATACACTACACTGCTGGATGTTCAGTTGTACACTCTCAACTTTCATTTTCAAACAGCTTTTTTCCTAGTTCAAATAGCGATCATTGTCCAGGGTAAATTATTTTGTAAAATAGTAGGATAATCCCGATTATAAAAAAATTGTATCATAAAGTATATTGAGAAAGAACTAGAAAGCTCATCTACAATTTTCATCAACCTAATATGACATATCATTTGCATATCATTTACAAGTATTCACATAATCCATCATTCCTAGATCCAAGAAAAGTACATTTCAATACTTTTTCATTTTGAAATGAAAAAGAAATCACTCAATCAGTTAACAAGTAATGAAGAGAAATTTTTTCATCAATTTGATCAATCTTATAGAGAAAGCTATCTGTTATAAATAGTAATCTGGTCAATTAGAAGAAAAAACCTTGAAAACCAGGCATACTAATAGATTACAGTATGGTAAATACTACTGATTGACATATTGGTAGGAGATCGAATCGAGGTAATCTAAGTAACAGTTTGATGTACATGTTACCTTCATATAAAGTTTATTACTGATTATTCAAGGTAATTTAGTTGTCTATGAGAAAACAACTAATCCAATTTTATGCAAATATTTCTCATATGCAACAAAATGTTATTCTATTCAAAAACAACACTTGATACTAGTTTTGTGAATTTTTATCTTGCTCTTGACAAAACTGTGGTATTTACACACGAAAAAATAGGCCACCTGGCAAACCACTACTTAGAGTATTAAATTATTTAATAAACTAGTTTTAATGATTGAAAAACCACTGATTTCAATCATCTAGCTAGTACATACTGATTAAACTATGAAAATAAGATGAGAAACTGACTCAAACAATCTTTTGTTTGATATTTTCACTAAAGAAAGTCTTACTTTGTTTAAATTCAGTGAAATGGGTATATTTTGGTTTTTTTTAATGAATAAACTTGTACGGGTTAATAAAGCAACACCTAGAATTTAATCAATTCAACTCGTGATTTGGTCATTCTACTGGTCACATGCTATCAAATTAAGTGTACATTTTGTACTCTACCCAAAAACAAATTGAAAAATAGGAGGAATGAGTACGAAATGTCTTATGTATTCGTGTGACCATGACGATAATTGATCGAAACGTTGTTTTTGATTGAAGTCCATTTAGAGTATGAGATGTAATACCTAATAAATAAATCGATATATCTTTATACACATTTAGTGTCAGAAATTTGGAATCTCTCTCCATTTAAGGACATCTTGATTGTGGTTAGAAGTGGTTAAACAAGAAACTGCTGAAACGATCATTAGAACTATGCTCAAATTGCGACATTATTCGCAAGAGATTCTGTGCTGATTGAATTTTTGGCGATCCTAAATAACTGGTGATATTTGTAAACCCGTTTTAAAAAAAAAAGATTGACATGACTCTAAATTGCAATCTGCTGTTCAAATCCTATGATAGGCAGACTTATAGAAATGTGGTCCTGAGTGATAGATCAGAAGGTTCTGGATTAGATTATATGTACGGTCACAGATTTGCAACTATGAGAAGATCCTCAAGGCATCTTGAAACGCCGGTTGATTTTCTTATGCACTAGATCTTCAGGTAAAAGGTTTGATAGCTTATCTTCTAAGAAAACCAACAAATTCAATCCGCACAATCGAGTAGAATTCTATAGTACAAAAATCATAAGTGTGATGCTCTTTCTGATACCTTATTGTAAAAGACATTCTTGGCAATTCATTACAATGAACTTATCGTTTCACTAAATACGTTTATATATATATATATATATATATATATATATATATATATATATATATTAACTATGTCAACTAAGTTAATGATGATTTGTGAGTTTGATTGATCATAGTGGAAGAATTGTGAATTCGTCAACATCTGGCACTGGAAGTAACAGTTTGTAAACACTGAAAATACAAACATGCATGCTATTTATTTTTGCATTGCAAACTAACCCCTCTTGATTCACTAATAACTCTGAGATAGTGGAGAAGATTTGTTGTTCAGGTGGATGATTGTGGTGGTGGTGTTTGGTTCTCGGAGCTGGATGTTTTGGTTGTGGAGCTTTTATTGTTCTTCTGAACTACGACATCATCAGCACAAACTTCAGATAGAAGTGAAGCATTCGAATTTCTCCACGTTTGACTTGTAGCTTGTTCTGCTAACCTCGAACTTGATTAGTTGCTGTTGACCTTAAACCTGTCGTTGTTTGCACCTTTGTTTTGATTGCATTTCCTTTTTGATCTGTTTCTTGATCCTATGTCACCTATGATTTTCCTGATTGGTTGATAAATTGGGTCAATGTCAATGTGTTTGTTGATCGCTAATTGACCTGAGTGCCAAGCTTCTAAAAATTCTCTAGTGTTCTTTGTCCTCCCCCTACCCAGTATTTCCACATTGTTCCTATCAAATGTGTGTCCATAATTGTCGTTGTGTATTGATATAAGCGAAGCGTTGTCGTGGCGTTTGACTGCTAATTGGTGTTCACGTAAACGGAGCTGAAGAGGCCGTCCACTTTTTCCTATGTAGTGTTTCTCACAGTTGGAGCAATTTATTTCGTTTCATTCCTTTACCATCGTGAATTTAATGTCATCGAAGACGTTGTTGATCTGATTGTAGATGTTCTCCAGCTCGTCCGAATGCTTCATTTCTATCTGAAGTTTGTGCTGATGATGTCGTAGTTCAGAAGAACAATAAAAGCTCCACAACCAAAACATCCAGCTCCGAGAACCAAACACCACCACCACAACTAATAACTCTATTCATTCAAACAAATAACTCTTATATGATTTATTCAACAGCTCATATTGATAGTTTTTGACATTTTTTCTTTCTTTCTAATGAGATTAGCAGCTAATACTTATAATATAGAACTACTTAAAACAATATATATGACAATGAAAAGATTAATATGTTTATGATGATCAATAATTAAAATTGAACATTCAATATAGCAAAGTTTTTTGGTGTTCACTTTAGACAAAAAAACAACTTGGTAATAAGAATTTTTTTCAAACTTTACTTGTCTAATGTCATTTATATATATATATATATATATATATATATATATATATATATATATATATATATATATATATATATCACCATGATTATGAATTTCTTTAGAATTTTATACTGAAATTCAGACTTAGCCATTTCAATGGATTGGTTGTAAATTATGAATTTTATTGATTTTTTAAGTATCAATTTCATGAATAAAACAAATTAAAAACGATGGTATGATAATAAATCACTTTTACAATATAGTGTGAAACATGATTGTTTTTATATTAGTAGAAAGTGTAGCGAATGTCAAGAAATGGTTGTTTGAAATCAAAGAGTACATTACACTTATTCGTTGAATTCAAATCAGCATGAAAAAACGACTTTTATTATTACTTAATTATTTATTCTATATGATATGATTTTGTGAAAAGGTTAATACAGCTTGAAGAGGAGTTTACCTGAAAACTAAAAAGCTCTGAACAACAATCATCCTCAGAACCTAGGAGTCTTACAGTAAATACTTGATCAATAGGTCACTGAGACGAATTCCATTAGACCACGTTAGAAGATTCAAAAACTAAAATCAATTCGTTATCACATCCTTTCGAACTATCAAAATGGTTCTCATGATGACTTCAGTGCAAGCAGGAAGTCCTCTTAAAATCTATTCAAGATCATCTGACTTTACAAAAATATCCATCTGGAATCAATATTTTTTGATATTACTACTTATAATGCTCCGGCAATATGCTGTGGTGGTGTGATGCAACGACTTCCGTGAAGAGTTAAAAATTGTAAACATCATACTGCTAACTAGCCGGAAAAAATAAATATTTGGCTTTTAAAGTTGCGTATTTAAGAAATATGCTTATTGACAATTGGACTGAGCCTTATTGGTAGGTATATACTACCTGGTTGATGTCCGCGAGATGACAGTAACCGATGGTTGGAGACCTTGAATGACCTGAACAAAAATCTTTTGCAATGGCACAGATGCATTCATTCTATGTGTTCCCCTAAATTCTAATCTAAAATCCTCATGACCTTCATCTTTCTGTTCTCAAATCTATTTCACTGGATTATAATTCTTGAATAATATCGTCGAACCCTAAAATTTCCGACAACTGCTTATACTTCTACTACCTCTACCACTATAAGATTTAAATCGACAATTGCACCTCTGTGCTAATGTGGTACGGCAACTTGGAATGATGTCTGTACGAATGCAACTCTACATTCTAACTGACTGACCTATTGACTGGCTTATTGATAACATTAACACAGTGGGACATAATTGCATCCCGACAATGTCCTCTTAAGTAATTTAGTCTTATCACACAAATTACAACTTTAAATTTTCAATTTAAACTGTTTGTCATACAGAAAGTGATGAATATTTGATGAATGTTTACCAACACATCTAATTCTCATAAACATGTCCTTCATGTTATTTTTAAAATAGAGTTACGAAGATTATTGTTTTTACACATTTAAAATCACCAACCAATCATTGTCAGACCACCTGTAGAAACCTGGAAGCACTGGACGGTCGCTTCATTTTGTTATGGGACTTATCAGCAGTGTGCATCCATGACTCCTGCACCTCGCAGAATTCTAACCCAGGACCTTCGGTCTTGCGCGCGAACGCCTGACCTCTAGACCAACAGTGTTAATGTCTAATTCTGATTGATTAATGTATAAAAATAATAATCTCCATAACTCTAATTGAGAAATCCTTACTATACATGAGGATCCTTTAATGTAATACAGAAAATGAAAATGTTAATTTTACTGTACCGGTTCGCGTGTTAGTTATCCGTGATTCTATGTCTACATATTCTCATTTCACAAGCTTCCTTGATGTCTTAACTTTATGTTGTACTTCCATTTGTTTCTCATATGTCCTATAGCTTTTGTTATTTAGTAGCCCAATCCTTTGATCTGTGTGTTCTACAAACCCTTTCTCAGTTCGTTTTCATAAACTTCACTTCGTATTTAATTGTTAATGAATTTCTCATTCACGAAGGTAACATAATCAAATGATTTTATTGAATCTTTGTACATTTACACTATAGCACTTTATTTCACATACCTTTGTAGTGTTTATTTTAAAATTTTATTCGGAATAAAAAAACCTATTTTTTATTGTATTTGAGCATTGAAACTCTTACATGTAACATCCACTTGATATTGTTGATATCACAAGTACAACTTAATGACATAACCAACTTATACACATACCCATCATTAGCACATAATTTATTCTCATTTAAAAATGTATTGAGTTGAGAATAACAGTTGTATTTGAACATTTTTTGTAACTTTAAATACCAGGAAATTTGGTATGAATATTTTAAATAAATTAATTATGTGCTACTAATAAAAACATTCATATGATTTATGAATTTTTTTCCTAGATTATTTAAGTTTAAAGTAAATTAGTTAGTTTATCTGTTCTTCATACATATTATTGAATTTTAAAGAAAAAAACCCAACTAAACACTTGTTTTTATTTTAACAAATATTTGATTTAACTGCAGACAGTTCAATGTTCAACGTTAAAGTGTTTATAATGTGTACATTTTGATAAATGTAATTTGAGAACAAGTAAATTCGTTCTGTAAACTATAATAGTTTTTAATTTGGAATGTGTATAAAGATGGTTTAATTCAAAAGTAATTCTCTGTTCGTAAAATTAACATCAAGTTGAGGATAATAGGAACCAAGAGTTCGAGCATATTCGTTTTTTTTCTAGATTGAGCCTCTTGATAAATAAGCACCCACTATAGCCAATGATCTTTAAGTTTCATCATCAGTATGATACAGTTAAGCTTCTGAATAAAATTTCATTGTGGTAGAGATTCACAACCTAGAAGGATGGTTTTCGAAAAAGTTGAATTCTCTAAATTGAGTAGTGTAATCTTGAGAGCTTTCGAGATTAAACTCTATTACAGTCAACTTTAATTTTCTTTACATTTCAAACAGATTTTAGCTGGTAATGAAAACTGATTTCAAATCAATTTCTTAGTCACTTCATATATTGAGATTAATTAAGTATTACACTGAGTAGATTTGTCAATTAAAAGATGTATTCATTCCCAAAATAACAAATTAAATGTTCATATATGCAATAAAAAAATTCCTTTAATTGATAAACAAATGAACTTACTGTCAGTAACAAATAAGTAGCGGACATTTTCTTGTTAAAATGTTGACTTTAAATAACTGAATTCTTTCGTTTCCAATTTTCAATACCAGTTAGGTGTTTTTCAGTGAATTGCTTAATCTATATACATATATACACAAATACATACATAAGACAAGAGATAATTTTTTTTTAAATAAAAAGAACTTTTTCGGTTGAATGCATTCACGTGATTTGAATAATAAATCACATAAACCATATGTTGAACTATTTATATGAAATAAAATTCATACATGATTATGTAATTTGTATATACAATAAGTTAATTTAATTTCATGGAAATTTAAATAATAATGATATTTTCATATTGATTATTAATTGTAGGGATGATAACTTTAATTTTCATTTTATTTAGTCATGTGAATCATCATTAATGTCAACGTTCAGTATTTAGAATGAAACTTGTTTAAATGAGAATAAGAAAAGTTTTGCTTTCCAATGAACTTCACTAATATTGTTAAGAAAATAAATTGCAATAATCTCATGTAATGTAAAGCATCTGAAAGTGTTGAATGAAAGTTATACATTTCGATTAAAGTTAAAGATATCTGACTTGTATTACAGCTTGATGACTTTTAGTGAAATTACGTATATGCACTGTTTGTAATTTATTGGTTCTTTGGATAATGGTAATCTACCATAAAACCTGTGTTCAATGTTAGAAATTAAATATTTTTATTTAGTGAGTTGTTAAACATTGTGTTGGATATGGGCTCACCAGTTCTGTGAAGTAGGTGTTCGATATACTCCTAAACTTTGAATACTGCTCATCCTGATAACTGTTACTAGATAACTCCCAACGATGTTTATTATCGCATCACACCAACTACAAAACCAGAGGCATGGAAAGATAAAGTGAAAATGATATGAGAGTGCTGAAGAGTGAGCGAGCGAGCGATGAAATAAGCACGCCAGTGAATGAGTCAGTGAGTAGGATTAAAATGTATATATATATATATATATACACAGGAAAATGAATAAGTCAGCGGACTATGTAAGTGGCTGACATTAAAGTGTTTAGAATGAATATATATGTAGGCAGCAAGCGATTCTCAATCATACCTGTCCACACAAATGCGACAATAATAAAAGCACAATGGTACAGATACGTTGTCGCTATACAAATGACTGTCTGTTAAATAAGTTAATCAAAAAGGCTTAATCAAATTAAATGTATACAAACTCAGAAGTATGTGAGCCGCTCTAACATTTAAACATACAATCTATTGAAATACTAAGGTAACCTCAATTCTTCTGTCAGTTATGTTTGTTGAGAAGATAATAAGTTACCGACTACAAATTAACCATCAATAATCTCTAAATAGTCTATTTTAGGGCATTACGATAATAAAGGGTACTTTTCTAACTTTAAAAACCATAAATCTATAAGATACCTTCTAATAATTATCAATAATATAGTTTTTTTGAGTTTTAGAGAATCTATTTCAACTTCAAATGTTTTGTAAAGTACCAAGACACTGAAATGTGTTGATTAATTCACAAAATAAATTAACTAGTTGTAGGTAGGAATAAACAGGTTATGAACAGATGTATTATGACTATTTTCCTTAATGTATTAGGTAAACCCATGATCTCATGAAAACTTGTATTTCCTCAGTGAAATAGATCACTGGTAGTGATTTGTCTAGTTACCCTGACTCAGTATTTATGAAACACGCTTCCAATCAACAAAACTTATCATTACTAAAAACTATCATATCTTAATGGGTATCATATAAAGCATCAAACATTTATCGATGGACTGCGACCAGCAATTATTCCTTATAATTTTTAATGTATAGAAAATGTGATAGACTTGAACGCATATATTTTTCACTGCAAATTTAAAACAATTGTAACTCTCCGATGAATTGTGCTAAACAATGGTTGTAAATCTATATTCACTGATCAGAGTATAAAGGAAAATTATGGTTTAAAATATCTTCATCTAAATCTAAAAATGGTTTTGTTGATGAATTTTGGATTCAAAGTCAGTGTGACAAGCGAAATCATCTTTATACATTCACAAACAACAAGTTACTTTGGGTACATTAATTCACAAATTAAGACTCAGAACCCTTTGCAATTTGCATATATGTTCATCGTTTTGCTGACTTCTTTTAGGCCACATATATTAGCCATGAGAAAAGATCAGTTATCAAATGTCTTTGAAAATACTACCCAGTATATTAATAATTAGCTCTGATCAGTCTTCAGTATCAAGTTTGAACATTGAGCAAATTCACTCTACTTAGCCCTAGTTCAAACTTCAATGTACTTTGCAAAAAAATGTAGGCAGACAGAGGATTGTCCAATAACGAAGAATTACCAGTGTATAGTCAAGTATCATGATGATTTCTCTAAAGAAACATAGTAAATCTTAATTTTTCCCTGTAATTTATTTGAAAAATTTCACTTTCTTTCTAGAATAAAAACCTTCCTGTCATATAATGTTTATTCACTCTTTCTTTTGCTTACTTTATTACTCTACTGCTTACTTAAATTACATTATCTAACCTCTCCCCTCAAGGTGATTGATTATTTTAACCAAACCGTTTATGGAATGTCTGTCTGTGAACTGACATCCACACAATTGACTGAGTAGAAAAAAATGTCTTTAGTCAATGTACTATTGTTTTTATTGACTATATAAGGAGATTCTTTCAGCCAATTATGGCATAGCATTGAAGCAATGAACATGGTATTTTCATCATTGTTACATGAATTATTATTCAATCTTGTTAATGTTGATAAATGACTAGCTTTCATAGAATTTAGCCATTTTATTCTCATGCTACATAAATTGTCACCATTGTCAATCAAAGATTTTGAATACATGTGTGTGAACGAGTATGTGCAATCCACTTAAATAATCAATCAACAATTAGCAAGAAAAATGTTTTCCGTCTAATTCTTTTTGTCAAAACAACTTTACTACAAGGTTTTTACATGTAAATCATTAAGATTCATAAAATGATGAGATTGGTTTGTGTTTGAAATGAGATGCATTTGAAACTTACTTTACTACCTTAAAATACTTTTTCTTTTTCGCTGTATTGTTACTTTATTGAAAGGTGATCGATAAAGTAAAGATCTTGCAGATTTCTTTTTTTAGTTTAACTATAAAATTCTGAAACTTTCATGAATGAGAAAATTGTTAATAGATGTGTTCACTGAAATTAAAATCCCTAATCTCTGATATCTTTATCATACATTTCAGTTGTGTTTTTCACATGAATAAATTTGAACAATCTCGTATCCCCTGTTTATTTACTCGTATCTTTTATAGTCACCTAACCAATATATTGCACATTCATGCATACTAAATATTATGTACTATTGAAAGTTATTTTTAATTGTAATTCAGCAAAATAAATTTACAACTGAACGGTTGATTGAATCATTCTAAGCATTCAATATTAGGCGACAGTGTAAGCATAGAGAAATAGATAATCACTAACTTATCTTGAGAATATGTTTATATATATATATATATATATATATATATATATATATATATATATGTTTCGACTATTCGATAATAGTCAGTAAAATGTGATGATCTCACGGATTAGAGGAAAATTAAAGTTAACAGAAGTCAGTCAATGTTGACCATGTTTCACCGATGGTTAAACTCAACCAATAATTTGGTTTCGAAATAACACTGACACGCCTTTCAGAATTGCAATTTTTAGTAAATTCGTAGTTGAATAATTACAAATTAGTAATGCTGATTACAAGTATCAGATACTCAAAATTGTTTGATTCAATTACCAAAGCTCTATTATAATCAAACAATTAAAACCTAACTCTTTTAACACGATAGTAGGAAGTAACCGAATAAAATCTGTAGATTGATTGTGTGGTGTACATCATTGTTTGAATTGCATAGTAAAGTACCATACATGTTACTGATTCCTACTAGTTTACAATTTAAACACGATCTGCTCTTGATTTGCATGGCCTTACTGTGTCACCTTGATATGAATTACTTACAGAAATCTCGATATACCAAACTGTTTACGACAGATTGTAGATGGATAGACAGATAATATGTCTTCAAGTCTCTTCAGTACACTGATTATCATGTTTACGCTTTTAAGGTGA